GAAGACTATTTGGGTTACTCCTACCTTCAGGTAAAAGTAAGCCCATACGTAGGATTTCCTTTGCCCAAGGACCTGGGTGCACTTGGTGGGCAATGCAGAAGGACAAGGATGTCCGATGTGTGCCTCAAGGGGACTTAATGTTAGGTGAAAATAGCCAATAAACTGTATTACATTAATCACCAAACAACCCTATAAATGTATTGCCATGGTTGACACATATTCTGCTAATGGCATCATATTCATGAAGAAAAACATGAACTTGGATAAAGTCACGATTAGTTTCAGCAACTGATACCCAGCGACTGCTGCAGACTGAATACAGACAGCGTCAGATACATCAGCCACCAGCTCCAACTGCAACAGAGACTGCATGCCATCCTCCTGCCAGGCCCAAGGACACCTGTGCCCTACCAACTGAGAATCCCTCCTCCTGCCTTAAGAGACTGTTAGGACAGATGGAACCTGAAGCTATGGACCAAATGAACTCACGATACATTCTGCAGTATATAGACTGCAAGGACCAAGTGCACCCAGGTCCTTGGGCAAAGGTAATTCCACGTATGGGCTTACCATGGCCCATGGGCTAAGGGAATTATATCTGTGTGCACATGCCTAAGACCAGGGAAGAGGACAGTAATTTATTAGACTGTATTAGGAAATATGGAACCTGAGGATAATGCAAAGGATATGGAACAAGGGGTGGACACGGTCTGGTTCAGACTGGAATAGAGTTCCTGTTCCTTTTTGGTAGCTGGAGGAGTGCTGATGCACACGGAGATTTCAGGGACTCTCCAGCTCCCCGTGTCCTGCCTGTGCACAGGCTCACAAGAAGCAGAGAGGGAACACAGCTGGAGCACCGGGCCTGGATTGGCCAATATTCCATGTCATGTGACTGTTACGCTCACCATATAAAGGAGGGGTGGGCGGGAAGGGGCACACTCTCACTTTTGGGATTGTGGTCGCGGCATCTTTGTGTTTCAGGATCGCTGGCCGGGAGCCGGCTGGGTGTCAGTCGGCAGGTGGTGAGCAATTGCACTGTACGTTATCCGTTCATACTGCCACCGTATTATTTTATCACCATTATTCAACTGTTCCTATCTCAACCCGTGAGTCTCCCTTTGCCCCTCTGCTTCCTTCCCCATTCCCAGGTGGGAGCTGTGTGGTGTTTGGCTGCCGACCAGGCTCAGACCATGAGTTACACCCACTGACATACACACCAACATGACATGCACACACACCTGTCTTGCCTGTTGCTGGCCTCACCAAAGAACAGTTGGAAGGGCAACTGACGTCATCTATGTGGACTTGTGCAAAGCACTTGACACGGTCCCACATGACATCTTCGTCTATCAGTTGGAGAGGCGGTGATTTGGTGGATAGACCACTCAGTGGATAAAGAATTGGTTGGGGGGTCGAACTCAAAGTGCTGAGGTCACAGGCTCAACAGTCCAATTGGAGAACAGAGATGAGTGTCATTCCTCAGGGGTTGGAGTTGGGGCTGGTATTGATTGGCATCTTTGTCGCTGTCATGGACAGTGGGATCAGAGCATCCTCAGCAAGTTCACAGATGACACCAAACTGTGTGGTGTGGTGACATGCTGGAGGGAAAGGATGCCATCCAGAGGAACCTGGACAGGCTGGAGAAGTGGGCCCATACAGACCTCATGAAGTTCAACAAGGCCAAGTTCAAGGTCCTACCCATGGCTTGGGACAAACCTCACATACAAATTAGATGCTGGGCAAGGAGTGGATTGAGAGCAGCCTGCGGAGAAGGACTTGGGGGTGGTAGTTCATGGAAAACTGATTGTGAGCCAGCAATGTGCACTCGCAGGCCAGAAAACCAACCGTGTCCTGGGCTGCATCAAGAGAAGTGTGGCCAGCAGGTCAAGGTGGGGGATTCTCCCATTCTGCTCTGCTCTCATGAGACCGGCACTGTAGTATGGTTTCCAGCTCTCATGATCCAAACATAAAAAGGGCATGGACATGCTCAAGCAGGTCCAGAGGAGGCCGTGAAGATGACTGGGGGGGTGAGAAGCACCTCCCTTGTGAGGACAGGCTGATAGAGTTTGTTTTGTTCAGACTGAAGAAGAGAAGGCTCCAAGGGAGAAATTCTAGTGGCCTTCCAGGACTTAAACAGGGCTACAGGAAAGATGGGGAGGGACTATTTATCAGGGATTGCAGGAATAGGACAAAGGGTAATGGGTTTAAACTGAAAGAGGGTAGATTTAGATTAAATAAAAGGAGGAAATTCTTTAGTATGAGGATGGTGAAACACTGGAAGAGGTTGCCCAAAGAAGTGGTGAATTGCCCCTCCCTGGAACTTCTCTAGGCAATCTGTTCCTGTATCTCAGCATCCTCATCGTAAAATATTTCTTCCTTATTTCAAATCTAAATCTACCCTCTTTCATTTTAACACCATTGCCGCTTGCCCTTCCAATACAGATCCTGGTAAGAAAGTATCACTCCATCTTTCTTGACCTGGAACCACTATGTTTTCATCTCCAAACGCCTTTGAGAGTACCCAGACATCACCCCAAATAGGGGTTTAGAGGGCTCAAGCCCATGTCCAATGTGCTTAGATATAAACATTCTGGCTAAGTGTTGTGGAGACTTGGGACAGTCTAGGAGTAGCCCAAGAACCCTTGAAGGGTGGTTTGAGAGACGGTGGACTTTTTCTTCACAGTGGAAAACAGCATGAGAAAGAAATAATGTCATACTGTGCAGCTGGGGAAGTCCAGACTGGACAACAGGATAAATGCTGTGGTGCAACACATGACCCAGGAGGAGTATGGATCAGAACAAGGCTTTGTTTTTCAAGGAAGAGCCAGGGAGGATGGTGAGAGATCAGGAAAGGAAGGAAGATGCTCAGGAGGAGCAAGGTGAGAGAGCTGGGGGGATGAGGACAGCCTGCAGGGAAAGAGGCGCAGGGGATGCAACTCCATAAGGACAGCCTGTGGTGGAGATGACAGAGGGCTGTGGGAAAGGCTGAAAGCCCCCAGTAAAGTCAACCCCATCACGATTTTGGCTATGGCTGTTTTCCCTGCCACTGATGCCTGTGAGGAGGCACAGTCCCTTGCAGCACGGGGGCCTCATGGCCTCCTTGTGCATCCTCAGGAGCCTGGGAGGTGCACATCTCCATAGCCCCTACCCCAGGAAGAGCCCTGAGGAATGTGGGAGGGACAGGATCTCCCTTCCCAGGGGCTGGGCGTCATGGCTTGGCCATTTGGTTAATGGGCTTAGGGCTTGGAACTTTGGCTAATGCAACAAATTGAGGATTACTCAGCATCAGAGACAACTTTCCCTTTTTGTTTCCGACTTCTCATAACTGCCTTCAGATTTCTGCTCTAACAGGACACTGGGGAGGCTTTGTCAATAGTGTCCTCAGTGGATACAATTAAAGTCACAAGAAACTTGGAGTTTGAATAAAACTTTGAATTCTTCAGAGGTTTCTTCAGTCTTCTCTGTGCTTGATGTTCATGGAGTTGGCACCAAACCCTCCTGAGGGGTCATTAAACTGCCTTGGCTGTTGCTGTGGTGCTGAGCTGGCTGGGCTCCTGGGCCTGGAGGGAGCTCCTGGCAAGTGGGCAGCGCTGCAGAGAGACAGCTCTGCCCAGGAGCAGCTCCTCTGCAAAGTCGCAGCAGGGCTGAGGGCACTGCCTGCAGGCACCCAGGGCAGAGCAGCGAGGCACACACAGCTTCAAGGCAGCCTGGGCTGGGAGGCTGCTGAGAGCTCCGAGGAGGAGAAAGCGTCAGGGCCCTGGCCACAGTAAGTCTGGGGGTGCAGGGCAATGCAGCTGCAGCTCGGGGAGGGATCTGGGGAAGGCGGCAGAGCTGCCAGGAATCTGCCTCCTGCCTAGAGGAGGAGGAGGAGGAGGAGGAGGAGGAGGAGGAGGAGGAGGAGGAGGAGGAGGAGGAGGAGGAGGAGGAGAAGGAGGAGCTGCTCCCAAGCAGGGCTTCCCTGGTGCCCCTGTGAGGGCCAGGGCATGAGGGCTGCCTTCTGGCGGGGCCGGCTGCAGGGGTGTGCAGCCGGGTGTGCAGGCAGGGGTGCCCAGGGCTGTCCTTCCCAGCAGGGTCCCTGCACCCCAGGGGCTGTGTGCTGGGGCAGGGACTCTGCTGCCTGCCAGGGTTCAGCACTCAGCCTGCCCGGGGAGCTCCCCACGGCGCTGTGGGGAGAAGCTGTGGGGGGAAGGAGAGACCCCCGCCAGGGCAGGCTCCTTCTGCTCTGCAGAGGCTGCTGCTGCGTGGATCAGGGATGCAGATTAACCCCACCACATTGTCAGAGGCAGCTTTTCAAGAAGAACATCATGGCAGGGTCTATGTGTAAGGAAAAGGGCTTTCAAGGATCTGTGCCTACAGTTTCCTGATGTATTTGGGAGGGTGTGAATAGTAGTGGAGCCATTATATTTGACCCAGACTCCTACAGCATTAGAGTGAGAGCTGTGAAGTTCTGTGAGGAAACTGCTTAAGTCCTTTCACCTGTTGCTTTGCCTACTGAAAACCCCGTCACTGCTGTGGTGTCCTCTTACAACTTGACAACATATGGCTATCCCTGGGCAGTGTCCTGCTGCCAGGAGGGGTCCGCAGGGCAGAGCTGAGCACACAGCGGGTGGGATGGGGGCTGGCAGCACTGTCAGGGCAGTGATATGGGGACACAGAAATGGCTCCTGGCACAAAACAGCTCCAGGGAGCAGAGAGCCAGGACTTGCTCCAGCATTCCCTTGACTCTCTACTAAGACACAGGGAGACACTTTTTCCCTCAGGTCTCCCCTGTGTTCAGGCTGAAAGAAATGTGAAAGATGAGGATTTCTACCCCTTCAAAGAATGTCTCCTCTGAAACATCACAAATCTGAGCTCATAAAAAGGAATTGAATATATTTTCCCCAAAGAAAGTGAAATCATTTTGAGGAGACTTTTTGGTAAACAGCATAAGATTGAATAAAACAAGTCTGCCCTAACTTGTCAATGTCTTCTAGTTCAACCTCCCTGCCTGCAGTGAACAAATGTCCAACAGCAGCTCCATCACTGAGTTCCTCCTCCTGGTATTTGCAGAGAGACGGGAGCTGCAGCTCTTGCACTTCTGGCTCTTCCTGGGCATCTACCTGTCTGCCCTCCTGGGAAATGGCCTCATCATCACCGCCATCGCCTGCGACCACCACCTCCACACCCCCATGTACTTCTTCCTCGTCAACCTCTCCCTCCTCGACCTGGGCTCCATCTCCACCACTCTCCCCAAAGCCATGGCCAATTCCCTCTGGGACATCAGGGACATCTCCTACATGGGATGTGCTGCCCAGATCTTTTTCTTTGTTTTCTTCACTGCAGCAGAATTTTCTCTTCTCACCATCATGGCCTATGACCGCTACGTTGCCGTCTGCCAACCCCTGCACTACGGGACCCTCCTGGGCAGCAGAGCTTGTGTCCACATGGCAGCAGCTGCCTGGGGCACTGCGTTGCTCAATTCTCTCCTGCACACTGCCAACACATTTTCCCAACCACTCTGCCAAGGCAATTCCATAAACCAGTTCTTCTGTGAAATCCCTCAGATCCTCAAGCTCTCCTGCTCAGATTCCTACCTCAGGGAAGTTGGACTTATCATGGTTAGTGCCTGTTTAGCATTTGGCTGTTTTCTTTTCATCATGCTGTCCTATGTACAGATCTTCGGTGTGGTGCTGAGGATCCCCTCTGAGCAGGGACGGCACAAAGCCTTCTCCACGTGCCTCCCTCACCTGGTCGTGCTCTTCCTGTTTATCGGCACTGGCGTGTTTGCTCACCTGAAGCCCCCCTCCATCTCCTCCCCATCCCTGGACATGGTGGTGTCATTTCTGTACTCAGTGGTGCCTCCAGAACCCCCTCATCTACAGCATGAAGAACCAGGAGATCAAGGATACCTTGAATAAAGTGATGAGTGGAAAATATTCAGAGTCAATGAAGTGCTTTTCTTCTGCAAAGCACTCATGATGTAACTCATTACAGATTAAACTCATTCTCTGTAGGGTTTTTTTTGCTGTTTTGAGGTTTTACATTTTTTTCTATCTTTGCTTTACTTCTTATAATATTTTATGAAAAGAAATTTCATTATTTTTCCCTTTTTTAATTATACATGTATCAAGATTTGGTGTGACCCAGAGACTCAATAAATGAGGACCTGTGCTTTCTTTATGTCTAAACAAAATAAAGAACACTGCAGCACCATGTTTCTCTGAGATACTTCTTCCAAGATATTCTCTAGACATTTTTGGTCAGTGCCTGTTTGCAGAGGTGGAGGGTAGAAGTGTCCCAGCACAGCAGTGGTTCCAGGAAGCGCAAGCACCTGCTCTTTCCAGAGCTGCTAATTTTCCACATCCACTTTCTGCTCCTGAGCCCTTGTACTGGTATAAATTCTGAGTGTTTTTGAGCCTTGGTCACAGTCCCACAGTGTGGCAGTTCTGTGACCACAGACAGGGACAGGCATTGGGTACTTCTGGGACAGAGCTGGCCTTCATGACAATGGTTCCATCAGACAAGGGGATCTCAGGGCTGTGCATGAAGGTTTAGGTCTTCTTCCAAAGTTGCTGTCAAGAACATGCCCAGGAAAGTGGCCTGCAGAGGAAAACACCATTGGAGTGCTGAGCAGTGTGAGTGTGCAGGGTGTGGGCACACAGCAGTGTCCTCGCACAGCCAGGCCTCCTGCCAGAGACCTGAAGGCCCAGAAGAGCAGGGGCTGGGCTGTGCCCATGTGTTTTGGGCACCCCAGGGAAGCTGCCCCAGGTCAATGAATTAGCCCCTTACAACCACCACTGGCCTCTCACCCCAGTTCAGGCGGGTTTTCTGTCCTTGCACACATGGATACCAAAGCAGTAGGTCAGAAGTCCATGTTTACATTGTAGGGAGGAGATGTAAGCATGGACATCATGTACATGAAGTGAGATGAAGCCAAGTGAGCACAAAATCCATCAGCTATTCCTGGGGGTGCCATGAAGGCCTGTGGTACAGACCATGTCTTGAGGTCACTTCACTTAGAGAGTCAAGTCCCCCAGGAAACCCCCTGAATGCAGCACTGGGAGGTGATTCCCTGAACCACCGTCCCTGTGTCCATTCCTCATGCCTCGGGGCATCTCCCACGCGTGCAGAGCAGGGCGAGCACTGCAGGGCTGAGGTGCCTCCCAGCCTCTGGGGGTGGCAGCAGGAGTTCAGAGAGACACTATGGCTCCTGCAGTGCACTGCCTCTGCGTGTGCAAGGAAGGACTCGTGTCTCTGAACAGCCCTGTGTGTAAGAGGAGTGCCTGAGGCCAGCTCAGCTGTGGGCACCTGACAGAGCCCTGACACTTCTGTGTGTGACTGCAGGAACCCCAGTGAGATCCATCTTGGCCGCCTCGGACAGGCTCATTGCAAGTGCTCCTGTCTGCTCTGTCACCCTCCCCTGGGATTCTGGACTGTGCCCAGAGAGGCCGTGGGCCTTATTGCAGACTTTCAGTACTTATTGGGGTCTTATAGGAAAGACGGGGACAGACTTTCTAAAAAGGCCTGTAGCAATGGGATAAGGGATAATGGTATTGAACTTAAAGAGAGTAGATTCCGACTAGATATAAGGAAGAAAGCTTTTACAATAAGGTGGTGAAACACTGGAACATATTTCCCAGAGAGGTGGTAGATGCCCCATCCCTGCAAACATTCAAGGTCAGGTTGGACAGGGCTCTAAGCAAATCGATCTAGTTGAATCTCTCCCTGTTCATTGCAGGGGGATTGCAATAGGTGACCTTAAAAGGTCTCTTCCAACCCAACCCATTCTCATTCTGATTCTATGAACTCTCTAAAATGAATGTCTTCCCCTTGACCTTTTCCATCCCACAGGCGTGCTCAATATCAAACCCTCCTAAAACAATGTTTGCAGCATTAGACACCATAGGCCTGCCCAAGGCCTCCCTACTGAGATAAAACAGAAGCACAAAGCATTCATCCCTGCAGGTGGAACATTATTGTGCACCCTGGGTGCAGGCCTTGTCTTTCCTGAGAGCTTTCCTCAGGTCCTCCCTGACCTCCCTGTTCCGCAGGCTGTAGACGAGGGGATTGACCAGGGGCATGAGGACAGTGGCAGAAGAGGGAGAGCACTTTGTTGAGCTGCCTCAGCGGGGCTGTTCTGGGCAGCAGGTAGACAGTGAGGAGGGTGCAGGAGAAAAGAGACGACAATGAGAGGAGAGGAGCGAGAGGAGAAGGCCTTCTTCTGCCCATGCTGGATGGGATCCTCAGGATGGCAACTATGATGCACACATGGGACACAAAAGCAAACAGGAAGGGGAAGACAACGTTCAGGAAAGAGAGGATGAAGGATGTGAGTGTGACCACGCTGGTGCCACTGCAGGCAATCTCCAGCAGAGAGGTCACAGAACAAGTGGCCAGTTGCCCTGGGGCCACAGAACTTCAGCTGGGATAAGAAGACTGGGACTGTTGCACACACCAACATAGCCAAGGTGCAACCACCAGCTGAAGGCAGACCTTCCAGGTCATGAAGCCTGCATAGAGCAGGGGCTGGCACGTGCCCAGATACCAATCATAGGCCATCATGGCCCGCAGGTAACACTCAGCAGTCGCAAAGCAGCCAGAGCAGTGGAGCTGAGCCATACAGCTGTGAGCAGAAATGGTCCCGTCCCCATTCAGCAAGCTGGCCAGCAGCCGGGGCAGGAGGGTGGAGCTGTAGCAGGTCTCCAAGGAGGACAGATTGCCCCAGAAGAAGTACGTAGGGGTGTGCAGATGCTGCTCTGACAGCACCTAAACAGCGATGAGGATGTGCCCAATCACAGTCATGATGAGTGACAGGAGGAAGAGTGGAGTCTGGAGTGAGGGCACATTCCCCATTCCCCTCAGCAGGAAATTTGTGGGTGATGTCTGATTCTCCTCTTCCCATTTTTCCATACAACTTTGATTCTCTTTCCTCCCCCACTTGCCAGGAAGGAGGCCTGTGACAAAACACCTGCATCTTTGCGATAAGTAGAAGAACTGTGATGGACATTATTGATTAAAAAGGATTGAAAAAAAAAAAAAAAAAAAAAAACAAAACAAAAAAAAAAAAAACAAAAAAAAAAATCTCAACTGCTTTCCCTTGTTCATAGTCTATTTTTCTCTCTCCCTAAAATAAATTAAGGGACCTGGGTTCTTCAAGACAACAGACCCACTTGTCCCAAGAGCACTCCCTCTGACCACAGGGCTGACTTGCCCCATGGAGCTGCCTATTCCTCATCCTGGAATGCAAACATCATGTGCATTTGCTCACATTTTGACATCCTGCTTTCCTGTGCTCGGGGGATTCTCAACATGACCAGAATAGCTGTTTACAACTGAGATTCTCTGTGCTCTTCCAAGGAAAACCAGTGCCATGTTTTGAAATAAATTGTTTCTGTGAAAAGATCAAGGCAGATGTCCTTTCTCCAACTGGGAGAAGGCTGAGCACAGCTCTGGGCTAGTGATCTTGGCTCTCAGAAACGCTGCCCTTCTGAGGAGAGCGTTCCTGCCCTGAGCAGGCCAAGTTCTTGCATTGAGAAGGAGCAGGTCAGGAGTTACCTGCTCAGACAAAGAGACTGTTCAATGAGATCATGACAGAGAATGCTTGAGCCCACACTGTGTGTGAGACAGTAAAAGAAAAGATGAGAAACAAAGAGAAAAAAGGAAATTAAAGAAAATTATAACTGTGCATCAACCAGAAATCTCATGAGAGACTTTGTACTGGCAGGAAGGAAAATGCCAGTGAGGACCACTCACTCCCCATGCTCACCTCCTCAGCACAGGGTCCCCAGGGCTTTGGGGCTGCCCCCCTGTACATCCAGCCCAGCAGCAGGACCTGGCACAGCCAGCTGTGCTTGCAGGGCTCCCTGCTCAGCACTGCTGGGCACTGGGAGGGGTGTCCCGGGGGTGCCTGGGGCTGAGGTGGGAGAGTAGCAGGCTCAGGGCCATGGGCGATGCCTGGGACATGCCTGAGGGCACAGCCAGGGAAAGTGCCTGCCTGAGAAGCAGCCTCACCAGCTGTGCTCCTTGAAATACATGGTGCTCTCAGTGTTGTCAAACCCACTTCCCAGCAGGGAATGTTTGGCTTCTGGAAGAGAGAAGGACAAACAGCTTCAGCAAAGCTGACGAGGATGAGTAAAGCCTCTAGCTCTCCCCACTGGATGAGAGAGTCTATGTCAGAAAGCTGAGGGTCTGAGCTTGTGGAATGGTGAGGAAGGGAGAGAAAAAGGAGAAAGCTGAGAAAGGACAGAGCCCTGTGGGAGGAGAAGGGCTCAGGTGATCTCGACCCAAAGACCCTGCACTGACTTTTCCCCCATCCCAGCTGAGGTGGGTGAGTGCCAGGGCTGGCTCCAACAGAGCCCAGCCCAGCTGGAACTCAGCACCACCAGCCCCTCCCCAGCATCTCTGCTGGAAGTTACTGGGTCTCAGGGTATCTGGGGAAGGAGGGAGCTGGGCTGGGGACATGTGCAGCACAAGACAGGGCTGAGACTCAGCTCTCACTCACACACTTTCACTGCACAAATACCCACAGCAAAATCAGCAATTCCCTGACTCGGGACATCCAGCACCCACCTGCAATGCTCAGCATGAAGGGTTGACCTCTGTGCTGATGGTGCCTGGGAACAAAGACCTGGGGCGTTACTCTCTGCCTCTACCCCACCACATCTTCCCTACTGTGTTCTCTCTGCAAACCCTGTCTCAGACTTAATGCCCTGCTCTGCCCTTGCCTTTTTCTCACCACATCTTGAGATTGACATGTCAGCAGCAAAAAATGCCCCATGCTCTGCACTGTGACCTGGAGCTTATAGCACCAACAATTCCTTCAGTGACCCAGGCACAGCGCAGCTCTCCCCAGGCACTGCAGGGAGAAAGCATTACTAAACTAGTTCTCAAAGCAGGCTGCAACTTCTGAACTGCTGGAAAGTTTGGAATCTGTTGTGGCAAGGCCTGCCTTTCCTGACAACCCTGAGTACTTTGAACTCCAGGTGAGGCTTCTTTAGAAAGGAGATTCAGGCAAGGAAATCATCAGGATTCAGCAAAACTCCTGACAGAACCCCATAAGAGTTACCCAGAGTATAATCTCCATCACCTCCTTGAATTAGACACACACTGGGCTAGTTTTTCAAAACCAGACTTTTAAAGTAACAATACAATCTAAGTACCTCACTGCTGAGATACAAGTTTCAAAGAGAAACAAAAATTAGTTGAAGCTGTATCATCTGGATTTACAAATTCTCTATCAGCAGAAAGGAAGTCCCATGGCCTACGGGATGTTTCATTAGCTGGTCCTAGGGAAATTTGTTTTCTTGGGCCTCTTGGCTCCAGCCTACTGCATTCACATTGCTGACAAGGGGACAATTTCCAATTCAGGCATCAAATTTTTCCCCATCCTGCCTGGAGATACAGAACAGCTCTGTCACACATCAGGCAGCATCTGAATGAAGATGGAGGTAGTGTTAACTGAAATAGTTTGGGCTAAAATGAAATCTCAAAATGTGATCTTGCATGAAAACACCTTTTTCAATTAGGCATAAGTTACACAACTGTGAGTCCAGATCTAGTTTGCAGAGTTTCTCACTTCTCTCGATAAGGAAGGTATGGTGCTGGGGAGGGGAGCACGCTTTGGTTTGCTAAATCCCTGATGAGTGTCCAACACATCCTTCCCTTGGCCTCTGGCATCTCATTCCCTGAGATGTAAACACCATGAGGCTTCTGTCAAGATTCCTTCAGATGTTAGTATGATTTTCCTAAGAGTAGCAGTACCTGAAAGAAAGAAAGAAACAAAGCAAAATGAATTAATTACGTGTAAATTACTGCAATGTAGCATTCTGCTTGCTTTGTAGACATGCTGGGCAATGTCAATTCAATCAGTATTTGCAATGTAAGCCATCCTCAAGTAGCCCTTCCAAAGCAGTTCACATGAAGGCTGCTCTTGTAAAAGTCTCCTTTTGTGTCCCCAGGAGGCATGGGCACTGCTGATTTCCCTCTCCAGAGAGTGGCAGAGGCTGGATCCCCTTCTCAGGACAGACTCCTTGCCAGGAAGACACAGGCATGGGGTAGCTCACCTGGTTTACACTGGCAATTCACTCAATATCTCTTTTGGTGTACTCGTTTTTCTTTGACAAGTCTTAAAAACAGTGAAGAATCAGAAAAAAAAAAAAAAATAAATAAAAAAAAAGAACTAATAGAAGTTAATCATCAAGGCAGGGAGGTTGGAACTAGATGATCTGTAAAGGTCCCTTCCAATCCAAACCATTCTGTGATTCTGTGATTTTATGACAAGCACCAACTTAAAATGTTGCCTGTGCTGTAGAGGAGCTCCATATATGTGAGACACATTAAACAGGCCATGCCTCACTCCCCATCTTCCCGGTCAGTCACAGAATCATAGAATCATTTAGGTTGGAACATATTCTTAAGGTCATCAAATCCAGCCATTAAACTAACACTGACAAGCCCACCACTAAACATGTTCCCTATGTGCCATATCTACATGTCTTTTAAACACCTCCAACAATGGTGACACAACTACTTTCATGGGCAGCCTTTTCCAATGCTTTATAACCCTTCCAGGAAAGAAATGTTTCCTCATATTCAATCCAAACCTCCCCTGGTGCAACTTGAGGCCATTTCCTCCTGTCCTTTCACTTGTTACATGGGAAAAGAAACTGGCCCAGACCTCACTGCAACCTCCTTTCAGGTAGTTGTACAGACCGATAAGGGTGCTCCTGAGCTTCCATTTCTAAACACCCCAGTTCTCACAGTTGCTCCTGATAAGACTTGTGCTCTAGACCCTTCACCAGATTCATTACGCTTCTTTGGTCACACTGCAGCACCTCAATGTCTTTCTTGTAATGAGGGGCCCAAAACTGATCCCAGTATTCAAGGTGCCACCTCACAGTGCCAGTACAGAGGGTTGATCACTGCCCTAATCCTGCTGGCCACAGCATTTCTGATACAAGGCAGGATGCTATTGGCTTTCTTGACCACCTGGGCACTCTGTTTGCTCGTTTTCAACCAGCTGTTTACCATCACACCCAGGTTCTTTTCTGCTGGGCAGCTTTCCAGCTACTCTTCCCCCAGCCTGTAGATTTGCATCAGGTTGTTGTGCCCAAAGTGCTGGCCCCAACACTGAGCCTTGCTGAAGCTCATACAATTGGCCTTTGCCCATCACTCCAGCCTGTCCAGACCCCTCTGTAGAGCCTTCTTAGATTGCAGCACATGAACACTCCCGCACAACTTGGTGTTGCCTGCAAACTTACTGATGGTGGACTTGATCCTCTCATCCAGATCACTGATAAAGATATTAATGAGAACTGGCCCCAATACTGATCCCTGGGGAACAGCACTTGTGGCCAGCTGCCTGCTGGATTGAACTCCGTTCACCACCACTCTTTGGGCCTGGCCAGATGCCAGGACCTTACAGTCTGGATGGCTGGTTTGACGGTGGGGTTCAGAAGTTCATGGTGAATGAAGTTTTCTCTGCAGGCAGATCAGTAACACATGGAGTACTGCAAGTGTTCACCCTGGGATCTGTCCTGGCAAACATCTTTAGCAAGGACATGGAAGAACTGAAAGAGTGCACTCTCACTAAGACTGAAGATGCCACAGAATTGTGGAAGTAAGGGTCAGTACACTGGAGGGCAGAGTTGCCATCCAGGGAGACCTAGAGAGGCTGAGATGTTGTGGATTAATCACAGTAGACTGCTTAGGCTCACACAGCTCACTCATTCCTCCCCAGTGGGATGGGGGAGAAAATAGGAAGGGTGAACGTGAGAAAAATAATAGGTTGGGGTAAAGACAGTGAGAAAAATAATAGGTTGACGTAAAGACAGTTTAATACATAAAACAAAGCTGTGTACAAGTGACAAGCACAATAAAGAAATTCATTCACTACTTCTCACAGGCATGCAGGTGTTCAGGCATCTCCAGGAAAGCAGGGCTTCATCATACACAGTGGTTATTTGGGAAGACCAGCGCTGTCACTACAAACATCTCCCCTTCCTGCTTTCCTGTAGTTTTGATTGCTGAGCACAATGTCATACAGTATGGACTGTCCCTTTGGTCAGCTGAGGTCAGGTGTCCCAGCTGTGTCCACTCCCAGCTTCTTGTACACCCCCAGCCTGCTTGTTGGCAGGGCAAGTTCCCCCCATTATGATGCCAGTGAGAGCAATCAGTTCACTGTCCCCCCCATAGCCCCAGCAAGACATAATCTCATAATATACAATTTGCAGGCTCCCCCAGTATCCAACACTTTCCCAGCCCCAGCTGTGTCCAATGTGGGGATTCACAGACAGCCCTTCGCTGGGGTCTGCCAGGGTCTGGGCCAGAAAAGAGGCCAGGCAGGGCTGGCTGGTGCCCCCATACAGGCACTGAGACCAGCAGGAGGATGGAGATGGTTTAGCAGCAATGCTCACCCATAAACCTGGGTGAGCAGCCAGTGCTGGAAATGACCAGCGAGATAGGCTGGGGGGTGCTGCAGAGCTCTGGGCACTCACCCCAGCCCCAGCCCCTCGGAAGGTCACAGCAACTCCTGGGGCACAGAGGGCTCTCAGCCTCCCCATCAGCCCCAGGGCTGGGGCCAGACATGCCATGAGCAGACGCAGGCCAGCGTCTCCCTCTCTCTGCTGCTTTTCTCTCCAAGAGATCCTGATTGCCCAGTGCTGGCAGCCCCTTTGTGCCCGTCCCTCTCCCCAGCACAAGACTCCTCACTGGGGGTCCCCAGGCAGCTCCTGCTGTGCCAGCCAGAGAAAAGCTGCCCAAACTGGTGCCTCCAGAAATAGGTCTTTGTTGCGGGATGTCACCTCAGGCACGGCCCTGAGCTGGCGGTGCTGCTCTGCAGGGCAGTGGTGGCTGAAAGCCACGGGGAGATGGCCCCAGGGAGATCCCCATGGATCAGCCATCATTTCCATTGCACTGGGCACCCCCACGTGAAGGGGCAGCACAGGCCTATTCCCTAACACATCCCCCCATGCCCTCCTGCCCTGAACCCCTGGAAACCCCAGCACAGCAGCACGCTCAGAGGGGCAATTCCTTCAGCCTGTTCCTGACCTCAGCTTGGGAGGAAGAGACCAACCTCCAGACATGGGCACTGAGACAAGCCTCTTTTGTAATGGATATGTTTAATGGGAGGCCAGCTGCATTGTCCCATCAGACACAGCGCACAAAGTCCTCTCTGACAGAGATGCTGGTTGAAGTCTCTGAGGAAGAGGAGTGGATACATACATTTTAGGAACAAAAAAGAGTTTCACAAATAAAATGCTTACTGCACAGAAGGATTCAGATAAGAATTGGAAATGACTTCTGAAGAGACACAGGAAGCTTATCCCTGTTGAGATTCAGCTGACTGAATCAGCTTCTTCAGTGCGCCCTTCATCTCCTGGTTCCTCATGCTGTAGATGAGGGGGTTCACTGCTGGAGGCACCACCGAGTACAGAAATGACACCACCATGTCCAGAGATGGGGAGGAGATGGAGGGGGCTTCAGGTAGGCAAAGATTACAGTGCTGACAAACAGGGAGACCACGACCAGGTGAGGGAGGCATGTGGAAAAGGCTTTGTGCTGTCCCTGCTCAGAGGGGATCCTCAGCACGGCCCGGAATATCTGTACATAGGACAGCACGATGAAAAGAAAACAACCAAATACTAAACAGAAACTAGCCTTGATAAGTCCAACTTCCCTGAGGTAGGAATCTGAGCAGGAAAGCTTGAGAATCTGGGCGATTTCACAGAAGAACTGGTTTATGGAATTGCCTTGGCAGAGGTGTAGGGAAAATGTGTTCGCTGTATGCAGGAGAGAATAAAGCAACCCAGTGCCCCAGGCAGCTGCTGCCATGTGGACACAAGCTCTGCTGCCCAGGAGGGTCCCGTAGTGCAGGGGTTGGCAGATGGCAACGTAGCGGTCATAGGCCATGATGGTGAGAAGGGAATATTCTGATGATACCAAAAATAGAAACAGAAATACCTGTGCAACACATCCCGGGTAGGAAATGGCCCTGGTGTCACAAAGGGTATTGGCCATGGATTTGGGGAGAGTGGTGGAGATGGAGCCCAAGTCGAGGAGGGAGAGGTTGAGGAGGAAGAAGTACATGGGGGTGTGGAGGTGGTGGTCGCAGGCGATGGCTGTGATGATGAGGCCGTTGCCCAGGAGGGCAGCCAGGTAGATGCCCAGGAAGAGCCAGAAGTGCAGGAGCTGCAGCTCCCGTCTGTCTGCAAATGCCAGGAGGAGGAACTGGGTGATGGAGCTGCTGTTGGACATTTGTTCACTGCAGGCAGGGAGGTTGAACTAGAAGACATTGACAAGTTAGGACAAACTTCTTTTATTCAATCTTATGCTGTTTCCCAAAAAGTCTCCTCAAAACTATTTATCTTTCTTTGGGAAAATATATTCAATTCCTTTTTATGAGCTCAGATTTTGATGTTGCTGAGGAGACGTTCATTGAAGGGGAAGAAATCCTCATCTTTCATATTTCTCTCCGCCTGAACACAGGGGAGACCTGAGGGAAAAAAAGGCTCCCTGTGCCCTAGAACAGAGTCAAGAGAATGCTGGAGCAAGTCCTGGCTCTCTGCTCCCTGGAGCTGTTTTCTGCTGGGAGTGGGTTCTCTGTCCCCATGTCCCCGCCCTGACAGTGCTCCCAGCCCCCATCCCACCCTCTGTGTGCTCAGCTCTGCCCTGCAGACCCCTCCTGGCAATAGGGCACTGCCCAGGGACATTCCCTACTTCCAGATTCAAAGGAGAACAGCAGGCAAAACCAGAACCCTCAAACAAAAATCATGCTGTTGTGTCTGTAAGTAGAGGAGTAGGTGAAGGCACTTTATGAAGTTTCTGGCAATCCTGCTGATCCCTCAGTTTAACATTTCAGGAGTCTCAATGAATTATTAAAATTTCACAGCCCCTTTCTACTTTTTCTTAGAAGAAACACGAGATCATAGAGCCTAAAAAGGTTCACATTATTAAGGTGGCCCCTGCCTTGAATTTCCTCTTGAAATACAAATGTGCTATACGTGATCTGGAGCTGTGAGCATCCCTGATCCATGCAGCAGCAGCCTCTGGAGAGCAGAAGGAGCCTGCCCTGGCGGGGGCTCTCCTTCCCCCCACAGATTCTCCCCACAGCACCGTGGGGAGCTCCCCGGGCAGGCTGAGTGCTGACCCTGGCAGGCAGCAGTATCCCTGCCCCAGCACACAGCCCCCTGGGGTGCAGGGACCCTGCTGGGAAGGACAGCCCTGGGCACCCCTGCCTGCACACCCGGCTGCACACCCCTGCAGCCGGCCCCGCCAGAAGGCAGCCCTCATGCCCTGGCCCTCGCAGGGGGCACCAGGGAAGCCCTGCTCGGGAGCAGATCCTCCTCCTCCTCCTCCTCCTCCTCCTCCTCTAGGCAGGAGGCAGATTCCTGGCGGCTCTGCCGCCTTCCCCAGATCCCTCCCCGAGCTGCAGCTGCATTGCCCTGCACCCCCAGACTTACTGTGGCCAGGGCCCTGACGCTTTCTCCTCCTCGGAGCTCTCAGCAGCCTCCCAGCCCAGGCTGCCTTGAAGCTGTGTGTGCCTCGCTGCTCTGCCCTGGGTGCCTGCAGGCAGTGCCCTCAGCCCTGCTGCGCTTTGCAGAGGAGCTGCTCCTGGGCAGAGCTGTCTCTCTGCAGCGCTGCCCACTTGCCAGGAGCTCCCTCCGGCCCAGGAGCCCGGCCCAGCTCAGCACCACAGCAACAGCCCAAGGCACTTTAATGACCCCTCAGGAGGGTTTGGTGCCAACTCCATGAACATCAAACACAGAGAAGCTGAAGAAACCTCTGAAGAATTCAAAGTTTTATTCAAACTCTAAAGTTTCTTGTGGCTTTAATTGTATCCACTGAGGACACTATTGACAAAGCCTCCCCAGTGTCCTGTTAGAGCAGAAATCTGAAGGCAGTTATGAGAAGTCGGAAACAAAAAGGGAAAGTTGTCTCTGATGCTGAGTAATCCTCAATTTGTTGCATTAAGCCAAAGTTCCAAGTCCTAAGCCCATTAAACAAATGGCCAAGCCACGAACCCCCAGCCCCTGGGAAGGGAGATCCTCTCCCTCCCACATTCCTCAGGGCTCTTCCTGGGGTAGGGGCTATGGAGATGTGCACCTCCCAGGCTCCTGAGGATGCACAAGGAGGCCATGAGGACCCTGTGCTGCAAGGGACTGTGCCTCCTCACAGGCATCAGTGTCAGGGACAGCATCCATAGCCAAAATCGTGATGGGGTTGACTTTACTGGAGGCTTTCAGCTTTCCCACAGCCCTCTGTCATCTCCACCACAGGCTGTCCTCTGGGGTTGCATCCCCTGCGCCTCTTTCCCTGCAGGCTGTCCTCATCCCCCCAGCTCTCTCACCTTGCTCCTCCCGAGCATCTTCATTTCTTTCCTGACATTTCACCATGCTCTCTGGCTCTTCCTGGAAAAACAAAGCCTTGTTCTGATCCATACTCCTCCTGGGTCATGTGTTGCACCACAGCATTTATCCTGTTGTCCAGTCTGGACTTCCCCAGCTGCACAGTATGACATTATTTCTTTCTCATGCTGTTTTCCACTGTGAAGAAAAAGTCCACCGTCTCTCAAACCACCCTTCAAGGGTTCTTGGGCTACTCCTAGACTGTCCCAAGTCTCCAC